ATGTTTGCAAATTATGATCAGTTTTGCTTCAGTGGAACTGTCGGCCAATTGGAGGGTGTGGCTCGTTTAAAAAACACCAAATTGTGTCAGACGGCGCACTTTTACGCTTGATACATTGATGACACATTGGTGGTTGTGAACCATGCTCACTAGGCTGAACGCATGCTCGAAACGTCCAACAGATGTCATCCTCAGATCGAGTTTATTGTGGAACGCGAAAATCAGGAAAGTTCTGCTTCTTGGATGTAGCTTTGGAAAGATCCGATAACTCACTCTTAAGATCAATTTACTACCAACCGAGCTGGATGGGGCCATATCTAAATTTTAACAACTACTGTTCTAAGAACCACAAGCGCTCTTTGGTTCGTGCAACTTTTGTGAGAGGAGAGACGATTTTGGTTTCCCTGACATGTTTATCGCCAGGTATGCAGAGAAAATCGTGCCACAAGGGAAACGGGCTGAAGTTTCCTTGAAAATATCTTTATCACAATACCTTATAAAAAGGAAACAAATGATAAACGTTTCTGCCATCACTTACGCACCGCTCTAAAGTGGTGTTACCATACATCTGAGCTCGTGTTGCTTCCCCGAACCAAAAAGATGCTGCACGAATCCAATTTAGACAGTCCTCTTTCTCATACCACCGTCTCTTATGTCTGACAGTTTAACTGTACTTGCGGTAGCATGTACATCGCCCGGAGAGAGAGAAAGGTTGTCTACTCGGATTTCGGAGCACATTCTGCGGAACTTAACTCTCAGTGATGCAACATTGCCTGATAGCTCTGTTGCCCGGCAGTCAGTCGACTGCCAGATACGCGAAATCTTCCGCGAGTCATTCAAGGTCATAAACAAACAGAATAATCCCAAATCGTTGCGTTTTGGTGAGACCTCCGCCATCCGGTGTTTGAGGCCTAGTCTATGTAGGCAGCTTGGGTTTGTGGCCAATCTTTTAGCTTGATAGATTGCAACAGGTTCACTGACACAGCTATCGATCTGTCGTTGTTAACCGGATAACATTTTCACCCACTGCGTGTAATCGACCGTGGAGAATACGCGAAATTTACTTACTTCAGCTTATTCCGCTGTAATGTTGGTTGTTCCTGCGCTTTTGAAATTCTTGAAACCGAGTGGTTGTATGACAGTCCAGTTCGGTTAAACAACTATGATCCGAGCATCAAAGTGCGATGGATCCAGTGAATGCAGTTTGTATCAAGAAGGAGGTGCCTTAAACTTATCGAAATAGAATGAAAATTATCAGCCAGATGCAAGAAACCGCATTGCATGGACGCCACTCACTGCGAGACTACACCATATCGGAAAGGGGCTCCAACCATTGATATGGACCATCCAGCAGTTCCCATCCCTTTAGACAGCATACACCGACCTGACCAAATCTGAGTCAATTTCTTCATGCCTTTGTGCCACGTCATGACCTTGTCACTTTGCGCTTTCGCCCAATTTAGTCCAGCCACGGCATATGATGCACGCCGAGGAAGCCGGTCAACAGACCTACGAAGAACACGGCCTAACCAACGTAATCGGTTTATATTCAGCAATCACTAGATTGGGGCACCTGGAGACTTTTTGCCCAAAACCAACTGGCGGATCTCAGCATTGCTCACCCGGTGTTCCCACCAGACGTGAGCCATACTCCGCAAGCATCGGTGATCAAACACAGCCAAACGTTTGTTGTCTTCACTATGAAGTGGCCAGGTCTCAGATCCATACAGTAAGACCGACATTATCGCAGCGTTATGCACCCTACCTTTCACTGCCAAGCTGCTATCCCGCTGTCTCCATAGATGTTTGAGCCTCTGGAAAACCACATGGGCTACTGCGTTAAGCATCCTCTTCAGGGATGGGACCACCAGCGGTTACACTAGGTACATGTATCGATCCACCGTTTCCAGTGGCTGTCCGGTGATAGCTAGAACCAGAGGTGTGTCGGCCCAGTCATATAACAGCACTTTGCACATTGAAGGTGCAAATCTCTTGCCAAAGCGTGCAGCGCTGCGCACCAGTCTATGCAGTAGTGTTTATGTAGCCATTGCTTCAGTAACACACCGCAAATCCAAGGTACCAGCAGTAGTTTGCACTCTAACCCCTTCGTTGCGGGGGGGGATAATATTTGGCATTTTTTGGCTTTAAGTGATAATTCCCACAAGGACCACCACCTCGATACAGTGTGAAGGTCTTTCGGTAGCGCGTCATGATTGCCCCTGTTTACGAGTTTTACGTCGTCCGCAAGGATATAACAAAGCTTTTCAAAGAGAGGAGCCTATTCATTTATATAATAACGGACAATAGCGGGCCTAAAACTGAGCCCTGGGAAACATCACTGTGAGCGATGAAGTGTTGAAGTCACCAGCTGTAACACAGAAGGTTCTTCTGCAAAGGAACTGCTATCCAATTCAACAGTTTGGAATGTATACCAAACCATGTCAGATTTTCTAACAAAAAACGATGGTTACCGGAGTCAGGTTCATTGCTAAAACCTAGATAGAAAACTTCTACTGAAACCCCATCGCCGAGACAGTGAGGTATCTCAACCTAAAAGCACATCAGCTTGGTCAGACACAACTTCTTGGCGGAGCCGTGCTTCCCCGCTCCTCTCAGCTTATGGATAATTCAGTGCCAAACATTTAAGCAGAACACTGGTGAAGCTAACTGGCCCATAGTTGACAGACCCCTTTGTGCTTGACTGCCGCAGATACTTCCATCCCGTCTTGTGGCAGCCTACCTACCTTCCTGAAATGATATGTTAAACAGGTCCAAAACGGGGTACTGGAGTATTTCAACGAGTGGCTTGACAGGGGCTGGATACACATTATTAGATCCAGCCGATTTGTATGGATTCGAGCGTGCCAAGGCATCAAGAACGTTTGATGCAGTTATTGGATTATTTGCCATCATACCCTCAACTTGGCCATGAGGCTGTGAGGTTATAGAACACCCGTCATCCTCACGTTATATGTTTCGAAAGACGCACGATAACTCCTGTGGCTTCTCCGCATCCTCTATAGCATAACTACCGTTTTCTGTCACTAAGTTACCGACCCCATCTTTCACGGAAGCCTTCCATTAAACACAACTATAATACCTTTTCGGGCCTTGCTTCCACATTATGAGCTAACATAAGCTCATAGCAGTATTTCGCACTTCTCTGCAAGTTGACTGCCCAGTTCCGGCATTTCTCATAATGTCTCCAAAGGTTAAAGCTTCTGGACTCTTGAAGCTTTCTCCAGGAATCGTTGCGTCTCTTTATCGTCTGACCAATTCTCCGACTCCATTAGCAGGCCTTATTGATATGTCTCCTTTTGGCGCAACAGAGCAAACTCGTCCAGTAGTTGAACAAGCCCATCCTTGCTTGCAATCCATCGCTGTTCATATTTGACGTGCATTTGTTCGGGAACCCGGTTGCTGTCTAGGGTTTTGTTTCCTAACTGATTGGAGTTGATGCAGCCATTTGAGATTTTGACTAAAACCTGTCACTATTCAGTGAGTAGGTGAGGACTCAGTGCTCACTGTGGGGGGGAGGGGGGCTCCTGCGTGTATCTC